GCTCAACTCCCCTCCCTTCCCGCTCTCCTCTCCTCTCGGGCGATGCCCAGGCTCAACTCCCCTCCCTTCCCGCTCTCCTCTCCTCTCGGGCGATGCCCAGGCTCAACTCCCCTCCCTTCCCGCTCTCCTCTCCTCTCGGCGATGCCCAGGCTCAACTCCCCTCCCTTCCCGCCTCTCCCCCTCTCCTCTCGGGCGATGCCCAGGCTCAACTCCCCTCCCTTCCCGCTCTCCTCTCCTCTCGGGCGATGCCCAGGCTCAACTCCCCTCCCTTCCCGCTCTCCTCTCCTCTCGGGCGATGCCCAGGCTCAACTCCCCTCCCTTCCTCCCTCTCCCCCGGCGATGCCCAGGCTCAACTCCTCCTTCCCGCCTCTTCCTGCGATGCCCAGGCTCAACTCCTCCCTTCCCTTCCCTCCTCCTCTCGGGCGATGCCCAGGCTCAACTCCCTCCCTTCCCGCTTCTCCTCTCCTCTCGGCGATGCCCAGGCTCAACTCCTCCCTTCCCGCCTTCCTCTCCTCGGGGCGATGCCCAGGCTCAACTCCTCCCTTCCCGCCTCCTTCTCCTCGGGCGATGCCCAGGCTCAACTCCCTCCCTTGCCCAGGCTCAACCTCCTTCCCTCTCCCTCCTCGGCGATGCCCAGGCTCAACTCCCTCCCTTCCCGCCTCCTCTCCTCTCGGGCGATGCCCAGGCTCAACCCTCCCTTCCCAGGCTCAACCCCCTCCCTCCTCTCGGGCGATGCCCAGGCTCAACTCCCTCCCCTTCCCGCCTCCTCTCCTCTCGGGCGATGCCCAGGCTCAACTCCTCCCTTGCCCAGGCTCAACTCCCTCCCTTCCCCTCCTTCTCCTCTCGGGCGATGCCCAGGCTCAACCCTCCCTTCCCGCCCTCCTTCCTCTCGGGCGCATGCCCAGGCTCAACTCCTCCCTTCCCGCCTCCTTCCTCCTCGGGCGATGCCCAGGCTCAACTCCCTCCCTTCCCGCTCTCCTCTCCTCTCGGGCGATGCCCAGGCTCAACTCCCTCCCTTCCCCCTGCCCAGGCTCAACTCCCTCCCCTCTCCTCTCGGGCGATGCCCAGGCTCAACTCCCCTCCCTTCCCGCTCTCCCTCTCCTCTCGGGCGATGCCCAGGCTCAACTCCCTCCCTTCCCCCGCTCCTCCTCTCCTCGGGCGATGCCCAGGCTCAACTCCTCCCTTCCCGCCTCCTTCCGGGCGCGTGCCCAGGCTCAACTCCCCCCCTCTCTCCTCTCCTCTCGGGCGATGCCCAGGCTCAACTCCCCTCCCTCCCTTCCCCGGGCCTCCTCAACTCCTCCCCGGGCGATGCCCAGGCTCAACTCCCCTCCCTTCCCGCTCTCCTCTCCTCTCGGGCGATGCCCAGGCTCAACTCCCCTCCCTTCCCGCTCTCCTCTCCTCTCGGATGAGCCTTTCCCCATCATATATATTTTGTAATAATTGATTTAAAAATATGATGACAATTTTCAGTTGGCCTTGGAATGATGATTCTACTTGGATTGTTGCTGCCAAGCAAATGATATAATTTTAGTTTGCCTCTATAAAAAATATTGTTTAAACTTAACCAAATAAACACATACAAGGCCTAAATTTATTACCATTCTTTTTAGGTAATTTTTTTTTTTTTTTCTTCAGATACCATATGTAAGTATTTTAATTGTTTTTAATCAAAAACTTTTTTTTTTTTTCAGTGTCAACTGAGGTTTGATCTTAATTTGCTGATCCTATTTTCTGCAGATCTGCTTAACCACTGGCATCTCCCTCATAAATTTTAGAAATTTTTTTCTACACTTAGGGCGCTTCTGCTTTCTGCAGTGACATGTAAAATATTGTCACTTTTTAGTAGTTTGGCTGGAAATAACACTTTTGTTGCTAAACATTTGTTCAGCCCCATCTATGTCAGGTTAATCTGAGATTCAAATTTCTCAATAGTCAAGCCTTTTAAGTCAGTTACAAAATGCAGATGAACAAATAATTACCAACTTTATAGGTTTTGATTGTAGAACTTTATTGACTTAGAAATTAAATTCTTATTTTATTACAAGAGTGAAATTTTGTTCCACCTATAAATAGATTTCAGAACCTCTTACCCAATGCTCTGATTAGTAAGCTGTGCTTTGTATTATGAATGAATAAAAGTTGGATGCTGATTTAAGGAGGAAAAAAATTATGTAACTATCTTGGTTATTTTAGCTTTTATGAATATCCAAGATGTACTTTCTCACCAAATTTATTAAACATATATAGCAAGGCAATTTTGAGAGAATTTAAAAGTCCTACCAGGATTTATTAATAGTGGCCACACATAAAGAGGAGTAGAGAAGTTCACCTATTGTCTGGTTCATGCTTTTTTTATTGGCCTTAAAGGATTAACTGATTCCTGTTTAGCATTGGGTTTCTGTTTTTTTTTTTTTTTTTTTTTTTTTTTTAAGGCAAGTCACCCCAAGCAAGGGGTTACAGAGGATTGGGAGAGGAGTAAAGAGGCACAAGGAAGGACGGGGAACAAGCTCAGGGTGTGTTAGATGTCAATTGACATTACACTTGAATATTTGAAGATTATAGTCATCGGGGAAGCAAGTAAGGGGAAGGGAGTTCTACAGATGGGAAGTGCGAGAGGAAAAGATGATTACATTTAACCATTTTGACAGTGAAAGGGTGAGACCAAGATACCAGCATGGTAGCATGTTTAAATTCATGAAGTCTGGGAACCTGGAACAGTTGCTGTGAAAATATTTGTAGAAGAGACAGAGGGAGGCCTGTGGGATAGCAATTGTAGACTAGATGCCAGATCAGGACCTATCATCTTGTATATCTATTTCTGGGATGTAAAATGCAACACTGGAATCTGAAGGCACATTAGGATAGTGAAAGTTGCCTTCCAAAAGCTAAGCAAAGTATTGATAAATTGGAAAATTTTGTTTTAGAGAAAATCAAAACAAAAAAAACACTTAAAATCAGATAGAGATAATTGAAATTTCTAGGGCACATGAGGAAAGAGTGTTTGGAAAATTTGATACTCAGAGGACTGGTTGAAGACCTAGGAGGCCAGATGAAGACAACCTAACGAGGATGGTAGAATGAGGTATAGGTGAAATAACAAAGATAAAATTTATTAAGAGCTATAAAGAGCTCTTAATAAATTTTATCTTTGTTATTTCACCTATGCAAGAAATTGTGGAGAGCTATGATCACTAATGCTCTGAAGAGAAATGGCATGTAGTATTCTTTTCTAACTGAATTTCTGCTATGAATTATTTTCATTAATGATATGTGGGCTGTTGTCCTCATTTTTGTCATTACATTTCAGCTATTATAGCCTCCAGCCTTTATCAAGTACTTGATGATCCAAGTGACCTTCAGAGAATTTCTTACTGAACCCATTATTTAATCTATGGTTTTAGATTGTTATCATTCTGTTGGCCATGTCCAGTGATATCTCATCTAAATTTTACAAAATGATAGCAAAGGTTTCAGTGGCAGGAGAAAAGAGAGGCTTTGGTGTGGGCAGTCAAGTGTGACAAATAGCAGTGTCAGCAGCAGGCAGACTAGGTTTAAGTTTTCTACTCAGGATTGTCCCACAGGACAATAGCCTAGTGTATTAAAGCATTGGTTCATGAAATTTGGTGACATCGTAATTGTGAATTCAATCCCTGGGCCTGGCAGTACATACTTGGACTTTGTGGAAACGAGATAAGAATTTACTGAGCAGTACTAAAATGAGAACAAGTTGATACCCCCATAAATTGAATAAAGGATTCTGTTACAAGTTCTTTGAAAGTTACCCAATACCTGAATTGAGAAGGTTGTAGAGAACAACAGCCAAAACTCTGTGATGATAAGAAAGATGACAATACCTGTCTATATTTTTGAGATGAGCCATTGTAACTATTTACATTCTTTGGACTGTAATTATTTACACTATTTACATTGTTCCAACATATATAACCTGAAGAAGGTCGGAGCATACAATGGCCGAAACATTGTGAATATGACAATAAAGATGAGGACAAAAGCCCAAACAGTGTAAATAATGAAAATAAGGACAATAGTCTAAATGTTAGTAATTTAAATGATCCAAATCTTTTCTAATTTTCTGTCCCTTTCTGACTTAGAATCAACTTCCCTCCAAAGAATCTCTGGTTTATTGCTTTTACCTGTACTTGGATCTATTGATTCCAGCCAAGAATTAGGGGATGGATTTTTTTTCTAAATACAAAGTGAAAGAGAGAAAAAAAAGAAATAACAGCAATTGGTCTAAATTTAAGTTTGAAATTTTTGGTACATTGATATCTGAAGTTTGTGAAAAAGTTCCCAGAATTATTTTGAGAAACTTTCATTCATAGCATCATTATTCAGTCATTAAAATGTTTTTCTTGGCCTTCTCTAAAGCCTTAAACCACATTTCAGAAGTAGTATTTATTGAAAGATGAAGGAATTTAATGACCTCTTTAAGTTATTGGAACCACTGATCAGCTGAAGTTTTGTATGAAGTAAAACAGATCATCTGAAAATATGCAAAAGAACTTCCTATCCAAACTTGATTTGCATCAGAGAATTGGTAAATTGAGGATGCTGTAAAAATGATTAATTCCCTTGTTTAGAAAACCGGTCTTTTTTCTTCCAAGGTCTCATTCAAACAATCCAATAGCTCACAATAGCCTTGTACAGTAAATTTCAGTTTTATAATAAAGAATTCCGTCAATTTTGACTTCAACGGATTCAACTCAGGTTGAGAGGTTAGAAACAGTCCTGATTTTTTTTCTTGGTCTTGCATTCTATAAAATGATATACATCACCCTATCATCAGGAGTATGACAAAGAGGATTGCTTAACTGAGTTGTTTTTTATGGCTTATCAACCCTTTGTAGGTTATTTAACCCTTAAGCATTCACACTACACATATCTCTCTCTCTCTCTCTCTCTCTCTCTCTATATATATATATATATATATATATATATATATATATGTAGTGGAATCCTACCAATTCACTTGAAAACTGGTGAAAGTAGAACATGGTCAGAGTTTCACTGCATGATTTCCTGCATTATTCATGATGCTGTCATCATAGAGTATACATGAGGTAGGCTGAACATAGCCAATATTTGCAGGCAGGATGTGAAAGGGCTAAAGCTGAAACATTTGGGATTTTTGTGAGTGCATATTGTGTTAACATTTGTTTTGAAAGTAACAATGATTTTTTACGATGCAAGTCCTACAATTTAACCCATAGCCGGGCAGATAAGAGATAGATTCATACTTTTACGACAAGTAGGAAATGAGAGCCCCCGACCTATTTAATCTCTTTCTAGATGATGCTCTGAGCATATAAAGGGTGTTTCATTAAGATGGATCAAAGCAGTAAATAAATCTGTGTTGGTGAAAATTTATTTATTTCTCTATTGGGTTATGTTATTTAAGTCCTGACAGTTATGTGTGAAATCCCTCAAATATCTGCCAAATCTGAAAGAAAAAGAAAAAAAAATCATTAGATGCTTAAACTTAATTCGCATTTAAAATTGGTCCAAGTTATTGGAACACCCTTTACAAGCACAAATGTGACCAGATGGACACTGATCATTTAAGCATTTCATACCACATCTATTAATAGAAAAGAATGATCTTGCTTTCCCTCCCAAGGCTAATGTACTAATCATGAAGGAGGCTATGCTGATAACATCAGTATTCATAGATGGGATAAGAATGAACTTAAACAAAAATTCAACATCCTCTGCTAAGTATTCTAAGAAGTAGAACTTGAACCTTTCCAAAAGAGAAACTATGATCTGGAATTTGAATGAAAACATTGATAGCACATATCCGGAATCATCATCAAAGTTCTGGATGTGGAATTAGTAAAATACTTCAAATACCTCAGTACATGGATCAGTTATTATAACACCTTTTGATGCTGCCTATGCCCGGTAGTATAACCCTGTTTTAGTGGTCTCGTCTTCGGGGTCTTAGAATGACATTTTAACCATGGGGCTAACTCTGAGCATGTTGTTGGTTGCTGGCTGCTTCAATCCGCACCAACTCTGCCCATGCCATGTTCTTGATCTTAGAACACTGGAAAATCCAAGGTTGTAGTCTCACAGCGCTGGTTCAAGCCATGGTGGGTACTACTTAAAGGGAAAAAAAATAAAATGAGAAATTTGTGGGGTTAATCTTCAATTGGCTTATATAACACTTGGTATAACAAAAATTAACCCTTCCCGCATCAATCTCTATAGTGACACTCGTTGATGTCTAAACATCTGATGGGGCTGGGTTCAAAGTCTTGGAATCAAGAAATCTGTTGGCAGTTGACACAGACTTCAGAGGCACTCAATGTGGATTCTCAGCCCAAAGTCTCTGAACTCCCCAAAGTCATCTGCTTATATGCACTTCAGCCCAAAACTGGCTGGGAGC